TTTCTTTCTTTCTTTCTTTCTTTCTTTCTTTCTTTCTTTCTTTCTTTTTCTTTCTCTCTCTCTTCCTCCCTCCCTCCCTTCTTCTTTTCTTTCTTTCTTTCTTTCTTTCTTTCTTTCTTTCTTTCTTTCTTTCTTTCTTTCTTTCTCTCTCTCTTCCTCCTTCCCTCCTTCTTTTCTTCCTTCCTTCTTCTTTATTTCCTTCCTTCCTTCCTTCATTATCTCTCTTTCTCTCTCTTGTTCTCTCTCTCTCTTTCTTTCTTTCTCTCTCTCTCTCTTCCTCCCTCCCTCCCTCCTTCTTTTCTTTCTTTCTTTCTTTCTTTCTTTCTTTCTTTCTTTCTTTCTTTCTTTCTTTCTTTCTTTCTCTCTTCCTCCTTCCCTCCTTCTTTTCTTCCTTCTTTCTTTATTTCCTTCCTTCCTTCCTTCCTTCCTTCCCTCCCTCCCTCCCTCCCTCCCTCTCTCTCTCTCTCTCTCTCTCTCTCTTTCTTTCTAAAGGAGGGGCTGCTCTCCACAGTGTCTGCTTATATTCTCACACCCAAGGAACGAATTGGATGTAAGCCATTTGTGTGCCCTTGGGATACAACACCCTCATTTTCTATGCTGGAGAAAGAGGGGCCAGTGCACCCCCCTGCCCCAAACCTGTCTCTCTTTATCACATGTTCCTGGAATTTGTCAGCAGCTGCCAGCAGCAGCATCTTAATTAACTGTCGGCAAAGATGGAAGCACATGAGACACGGTTCTAATTGGACTGTTGGCATTGTGGAAATGGGGAGGGAGTAGAAAGCAACAAAGGCAGAGGCTCCAGAGCTAGGAGTGTCCCCTCTGTGTGGCATGGGGAGGTGGGATGAAGGAGATCCATCTGTCAAAATAAGTGAGGATTTGGCTTGGCTTGATCCACTATCACTTTGACTTAAAGAAGGGGTGAGGGGAGAGAGAGAGAGAGAGAGAGGGAGGGAGGGAGGGAGGGAGGGAGAAAACAGGAACAATGACCAGAAGTCTTGGTCCACAGCTATTTTTTCTCCTAGGTTCTTTGTCAAGGGTGATGCAGAAGTGGTGGTAGAAGGTAGAAAAATTGATTGCTGAAGGGTTCGTTGTTACTTGGTTGCATCTTGCTTTGGTAACTGCTTTGGAACATGTAGGATTCTCTCTCCCCCTTTCTCCCTCTATCCCTCTCTCCCCCCTCCCCCTCCCTCCCTCCCCCTCTCTCTCTGATAGGTAGGTAGGTATATAGGTAGATAGATGATAAATAGATAAATGTTAAACAGATGAATGGATGGATAGACAAATAGATGTAGTCCTCAATTTATGACCACAATTGGAACCAAAATTTCTATTGCTAAGCAAGACAGTTGGTAAGTGGGTCAGACTCAATTGTGCCAAGTGTCTGAATTTTGCTCACTTGACCTGTGATAGCCGTAAGTACAAGGACCAGTTATAAGTCACTTTTTTGTTGCCAACTTCAAACAGTCATTAAACAAATGGAAGTACTTTGGAGGTCTTCTAGTCCAACCCCCTCCTCAAACATGACACCCTATACTATTTCAGACAAATGGTTGTCTAATCTCTTCTTTAAAACCTCCAATGTCAGAACATCCACAACTTCCAGAGGCAAGTTGTTTCATTGGTTAATTGTTCTCACTGTCAAAAAATTTCTCCTTAGTTCTAAGTTGCTTCTCTCCTTGATTAGTTTCCACCCATGGCTTCTTGTCCTGCCCTCAGGTGCTTTGGAGAATAGCTTGACTCCCTCTTCTTTGTGGCAGCCCCTGAGATATTGGAACACTGCTATCATGTCATCCCTAGTTCTTCTTTTCATTAAACTAGACATGCCCAATTCCTGTTCTTCATATTTCCACATGGCTATGTGCCCTGCATAGGCCAGCTTTGCTTTGTATTCATCCTTGAAGGTAGAGATGCATGCACTGTACATCCAAAAGCCAAGTCCATTCCTATGGACATATTAGCCACCATGCCTGTCACCATGTCTGTGCATGTGCTTGCCGATCTCCATGCCTATGTGAAGTGCTCCTAGATTTTCTGAACTCTAGGGGAAAAAAATTCTAATCAGATTAACGTGGCCAATCACTTTGAGCTCTTGAAAAGGACATACGGTTTCTAATCAGCGCCTAGCCCCAATGTCCAAGTAAACCAGCAGGGGTCAAGCCCTCTGAAGCACAAGCAAGAGAGGCCTGCTTTTTTCCCCCTCCTCTCCGTCCCTTGTAATTATGTCAGTTCACTAGCCAAATTGTCTGCTTGAGTGGACGCTGGGGTTCTTCCATTCTTCTCTCCCCTGGCCTCATTCATGTGGTAATAGAAGAGAAGCATGGCCTTCTCAATTCTGGGAATGAGGCTGGTGTTTGGAGATGCAGTGATGTTGCTTTGCTTCAAAAACACAACCAAGGACAATATTGGACATTGATACAGGCATGGGTAGAGCAAATAGTGGGAGAACACATTCAATTTAAGCCACAATTATTCCTGTTGGGAATAATGACAGAAGGCCACAGTAAAGGTACAACATATTTAATAATACATGTATTGACCACAGCAAGAATGGTTTACACACAGTATTGGAAAAATCAAAATATACTACCGAAAGGAGAGATAATAAGGAAAATAATGGCGTGTGCAGAAGCTGATAGACTAACTTTAGAAATGAAAAATAAGGGAGATTCAGAATATTATGAAACTTGAAACAAGTTTTATAAAGAAGGGAAGGTTGGAACAAAATCAGCTAGGAGGATTGGAAGCAAAATGTACAACTGAAGGAATTGTGAGGGTTGTTCCCCCCCCATAACACATGGAGCATTTTAGTTATTTATTTATTTTTAATTGTTCTCCAGAGGTGATCCTTTCACAAGGTAGCAGACTTCTACAGAGCGATACTGTAGTTTTATGTGGGCTGTGGGGAATTGGGTTTCATGGCTAAATCAGAAGGACACAGAGTTGGGGAAACTGAGTTTATCTGCCATACTTGCTAGAGCAATGTCCCAGCTTGTCTGTTTGGGAGGGGCAGAATTCTCTTACACCAATGTTTCCCAACCTCAGTACCTTTTAAGATGTATGGCTTTCCATTTGCAGAATTCCTCAGCGAAACAATGTCCTAAAGACAAGTCCATTGTGTGCTGTCCATGGTCCTGTTTGACAACTGTGTGAATTCAGCGAGTGGCAGGAATGATACCGGAGTAACATTTAGTATAGTTTGGCAAATGTCATCTTTAGTGGCCTGAGAGTTAACAGCATGATTCTTAATTTATTTACTTCTGGCTATGTTCACAAACATGTTGAGCACAGCTCTTTTCTTGGGAAGGTCATAAAAATATTTTTTTTTCGGCTACCAATATTGTTTTTAGCTCGCTCCACTCATTGTTGCCCCAAAAGTGCTTTTTCAAAAGGCATCTGGACTGTTTTTTCCTTGAAGATGTTTTGCTTCTCATCCAAGAAGCTTCTTCAGTTCTGACTGAAGAATTGAGGATGCTTCTTGGATGAGAAGCGAAACATCTCCAAGGAAAAACAAAGGAAAACACCTTCAAGGATAAACAATTGCCTTTTGAAAAAGCACTTTTGGGACAACGATGACCTGATCTGGTGACTGAAAATCTCAATAGACATTCCACTCATGGGTTTTTGTTCTGCTTGAACGTAAAACAGGTATCATAAACTGCAACTTCAAGAGAAGTTTCAATGTCCTTGCTATTCAGCTGAGTTAACATGTATGTCTATTGGGCAATTTTCCACATGAATTGTTGATTCAACTCTCAACACCATAAGAACTCACAAGACATCTTTTCTATGACTGGATTTACATACTATTACATATTAGATACCCTGAATATGGAGATTTGAATCCTTAAACAAATAAGCAAATCTGTATTTGCCATTTTTAAAAAAAACATTTCCCTCCGAAGATCCTAGCAATTGCTCTTAGCCTCATACACAGTTACTTGCATTTTTTTCATAATTATCAGCTTATGGATTCCTGCATATTCTCTGTTCTATGTAGAGACAAGTGAGTGAAAAGCTAATGGAGGGTTAGAAAAAACTGTACATTTATTTAAAGACCAAGTTGGTTTCCATTAGATTTCTTCATACTCGAATCCATATTCAGAATAAGGCATGGCCAATGCTGTGATTTAGAAATGATGCTACTGTTGGTGCAGTCTAAAATCACACTGGCCCTTTTTGCAGCTGCATCCCATATTCAGTTTTGTCACCAGCTGCTCTGAGTATCCCTGCAGACGATGCTATAGTATCTCAAATGTTGTCTCCAAATTTTTATTTAAAACAGGAACTAGAATATAATTTTATCACCTGCGGTTTCTAAAGCAGGTCCGATATATACTGTATTTTTGGGTGGTATCTAATCAGTTTGCTTATAACTGTAGTGGTTAGGATTGCTTAGGGTCAATAGGTGCAAAATGACCTAGATGGAAAAGACCACTGTAAAACTATTTAATTACCGTAGCTGCTTCCAGCATCTTTCCTTTTTCTAACTTTTTTTTTAAAATTTGATTGGCTCATGTGACACAGATGTAGTTATGGCTGCTGACACAATGTGTGTGTCTGTGTGTGTGTATACATACATACATATGTGCATACACATGTACACACACACAGAGAGACAGAGAATTGCAGTGGTGAAGCAAACAATTCATGGGGACATAAACAGCATTTTATCATTGATGGTATGTGTGTGTGTGTGTGTGTGTGTGTGTGTGTGTGTGTTCTATGACAAAATGCTGTTTATCTCCCTGTGAGTTGTTTGCTTCACCTCTGCAGTGCTATA